AAACTTTCTATCGAAGGCAAATGGTTTACAAACTACTAATCAAAGTCAATTAATGCAAGTTTCACAAGAAACTGATGTCGTAATTAGTGGTTCTTATATTGTGACGATTTGTGTGGATGGTTACAAAAATATGGGTGGGAATTTAAATATAACATGTTCTGCAACTGGTTCATGGAGTCTTTTTCCTAAATGTGTTATGAATGATGGCAATAGTGGTTCTCCGACTGGTCCTGCAGTACCTCCAGGTATGGCTTGCGTAGTTGATGCAACATTGAATCCTACTCCTAGAAAATCATTTCTTAAGGGTCTGCATCACAACAAATAAATACAAATGTTAAATACTTGTTGGATTTACATTGAGAATAGACAAAGAGTCTTCTAATTTAGAAGTCTCATCATAGTTCTGCTTCGTTTGAAATATTGTACTTCACGAATGAATGAAATGTAATTGATATTATTTAATTTAAACTATTCCAAACTATGTTACGTCTTCTTACAATAGTCAGTAGGATGACAATAGACATACTTATCTTTGATTATTATTAAAATGCTTATCCTATAATGTGTAGTTAAACTTTCGATGCATACAATATTTAATATTCATTTTATATTTTTATGCTTATTCTTTTTTGTACAGGAACTAGTCGATGTTCATTTTCTGAATTGCGAAACTTTCTATCGAAGGCAAATGGTTTACAAACTACTAATCAAAGTCAATTAATGCAAGTTTCACAAGAAACTGATGTCGTAATTAGTGGTTCTTATATTGTGACGATTTGTATCGATGATTATAGAAATATGGGTGGTAATTTAAATATAACATGTTCTGCAAGTGGTTCATGGAGTCCTTTTCCTAATTGTGTCTTAAGTGCAGCGACAACAATTTCTTCTTCGAATAGTGGATCTCCGTGTAATTACAATCCGAGTCTATTGACTATACCGAATGGTGCTGCAAGTTCTTCGAATGGTCTTATGTCGCCGACTACTAGTCAAGCTGTATCTGGAGCATATATTAGTTATATGTGTACGCCATCATATAAACTTGTAGGTAATTCGATGATAACATGTACAAATGGAGTTTGGTCACCACAACCTGCTTGTGTCGGTAATTTATGAAAGAAAAAATAATAATATCAAATTCGATTTGTTTTATCATTCGGATGTTTTAGCGTCTAGTTCAGGCAGTCAAACGTCTGTAAAACCATCAGCAAAATGTACCGAGATCCCATTTGTTGGTAATAGTGATATATTATCGGCAACACCTATTCAAATTTCTAATAATATATCTCGAAGAAAAGTTGAGTTCAAATGTAAGCGTGGATATACATATGCAAGTACATCAGGTCAACTTGTAGTATGGTGTACGAATGGTGTGTGGGATCGACTTCCTGTTTGTGCACGTATGTCATCCATGTTTTGAGTCAATTTCGAACTTATAAGGATGAACTTTGTTTTTCAGCGAGTCCTGCTTGTTCAATCAATCAATTACAATCAGCACTTATTAATGTAGTACCAGTATCAAATTCACTTAAGGTCGGTAATGGTGGTATTCTTGCTGATGGTTGGATTCAACTTCGATGTGCACATGGTTATGCTCTTAGATCATTACCTAGTTCTCTGAATATTACATGTCTTTCGACAGGAGCATGGTCACAATTCCCTGTTTGTCTTAAATAAACTTCACCTTTTATCTTTATTTTTCTTGACGCATTGGTATTAATGATTCCTACTATTTTTCTCATATATATGGGCTTATGTATATTATTACTTATTTTTGCTTTCTTTTCTTTTTCTTTACCTGAGTTATTATTTGCTTGTAACAATATGGTTTTTCTGTCCTGTTGATCATTTTTATTTAAACATAATCTATTGTTATTTGATGAAAATTATAATTGATCTATTAAATCTAGGTTGTGGGAAAATTTAAGATAAACAATTTGAAAATTGTATCTTTTGATTTATAATAGAAATGTGCAGGATTATCCTACCCTACAGAGTGGAGTACAGTAAGAGTTAGCAAATTTTTTCTCAGTCAGAGTAGAGACTGTGAAAAAAAGCACATCTCTAAATTTATAAAACAATAATGACTTCGGTGTAGTTTCATTTAAAATAGCAAAGCAAGTTAACAATCCATTGAAATATTCACAAAATTTTTATTTATTATATTAAAAAAATAAAGAAAATATAAAAAGAATTCTCTTTATCTGAAGGATACTGTCCCTCCTTTTTTTGACCTTTTCTGATTCTCGATAACCGTACAACTTATCAAGATGAAACTTTTACACTAACAGGACATAAGGAGACACATACAACGTCCATCAAATTTTATCTGATTGGGCTGAAAATACTCTGTGAAGAGATTTAAGACTATATCTGAGAGGTAATTTTAAGGCCACTTTCCTTCTCTTTTATGGGAGAAATGCCTAAAAGTGTGAAGCCAAAGCCGAGGTTCTGGCTTTCAGGATTCTGTCAATCCGGTTAGGAAAATGAGAAACAAAAACGATGTATTACGGTCAAAAAAAAAAGAGTGGAAGGGAAAATATCATTAATTCTGGAAAAAAAAATAACGATATAAACTGTCTTTAATTTTTTTAAGGATGGATATTTTAATTAATTCATATATATTTAAATATTATCTACAAATTGAATATTTGCTGATGTTCTTTGTGATTTTTTTTCATTATCATTAACAATTTGAATTAATTTATCCGGATTTCTTTGTTGTGCTATCATAACTTGTGTTATATCTGTACCAAGTTCTTTTAAATGTTGATAAAATTTAACTTCATCTTCGTGTAATAATTGTTGATGTTGTCGTTCTAATTGATTTTCAGCTTCTTTATTTTGTAAATGACTTGCATGTTGTTGTTTAATCATGTCAAGTTTATGTGACATTTGTTCAAGTTCCATTTTTCGTTCTTATTAGAGAAAAAAAAATGATTAATCGAATAATTCTTTATTTAAAGTAGAGCAGGACAATTCAAAATTTGAATAAAGTTTTTTTTTGTCATAGTTAAATAGAACTCGTTCAGTTATCTATAGAAATGTTGTTCTTTAGTACGTTGAAAACATCAAGTTTCGATAGTCTTAATATCTATCTAAATATTTTTCTTAATTTTACTCATCATATGCTAAAGAAAAAAAAATTATGCATAAGAAAAATTATTTGATTGTTGAGAAAATCGAATTTTTTTGGATAGGATAGCAAAACAGGCCATAAATAGTGGGTTCTATTCTAAGATTTTAACCACGAGAACTTCAATTCCAAGAGAAACAAATATTATATTCAGAATCAGCGAAAAGATCTGCATTAAATACTGAAAATTAATTTTCATCTAATTTCGAACGTAGAAGAAGCATAACTAGAGCTCAAAATGGCCCATCTTAGTTGAATATGATAAAAATATGATTTTTTAACTTTGAAGATAGATTTCATTTGATATTAATCTTTCTTAATCGATTTTACTCGGATTTTTCTTCAAAATGTTTTACATGGGTTTTATACTTCACAACTAGTGACAATCATGAAGCTTTATTATGCGAACGTTTTGAAAGTTTTATTCAACCAATCAATAAAAGCAGATCATTTATTCGATTCAATAACATTCTTTATCTACAGACAAGGCTGAGTGCATAGGTTTTATTAATGTGAAACAGTGCAACTAAAAAATAGTAACCGATCTAACTCTTTGAGATTGATCAGTTGGCATTTGACTTGTGAAAGCTTATGTTAGTAAATGATAGCGTTCAAGAAGTTGGAGTACCCACGAACAAATCCTATTCTTTCAGTTAAATACGCAATTCGATCTAAATCTCACGCTATTATTTCAAGCAATAAACTAGTCGGGCTATTAAAAGAGGGGTTTGATTTTGAGATCTAAGCACCAGTCAGAGTATTCGAAAATAAACCGAGGGAACATAAGAATCGAAATTTGGCAAGAATTAGTTTCAAGTATTAAGTATTGATATTTGTTTTTTTTTAAAGTAAAGTTCTGATGGTCAAAATCTCTAAAGACAAACCCATATTGATGGCTTGTTTTGCCATAATATCGGAAAAAAATCGATTTTCTCAACCATCAAAATATTGAAGGTATCGTGACTTTTGACGAGTTCTATTCAACTATGACAAAAAACGCCCTCCAAAAAACTTTTCCTTTCTCAAACTTCAACTTGCTGATATCTTACCTTTTTGTGATCGTTCGAAACGTTTTTCTAATTTTAAATCTTCTAATAATTGTACTTGAAGTTCAGATTCATTTTCTAATCTTAATTTAGTTCGTGCTTGAATTGCATTATCATTCATTAACTAAAGTCGGCGAGAATAAAAGAAAAAAAAAACCTAAAGAAATGAATTAATTAATCATCATACTTGAAGTTTTTCCGATGCTTGATAACCACGAAAAACAACTTTATTTATTTTATATCCAACTGCGTCAGATCTTGTTATTAATTGTGGATAAGTTTCAAATTGATTTAATTGATTAGCATTTTCAAGAAATGTTTCATATTTTCTTACAGATGCAAATGCAATTACATCAGCACATACTGCATTGATCTATATATTTTTTTTCGATCAAAAATATGAAATAAATAAAAAAGAATCTTTTTTTACTTACAAAATCTGCTATTGGATCATGCGTATTATTTAACATTGTTTCAACATCGATTAATTCATAAAATAACATTAATTTAACAGTTATTAAAGCATCATCAGATGTTCGAACATCGGTTATATTATAATAGAATTGATCGGGAATAAGACGAAGTATTTTAAATTTTTTTGCACCCGGTATAATATGAGTTTTATGTGTTCCATCTTCACCATGCCATGTAAATTCATGAATCCATTCATTTGGCTTAGGAGCATAAAGTGTTGGACCTTTAATAATATGACGTACTGATGATAAATCTATAAATATAAACTTCATTGATTATTTTCATAAAAATGATTCTTTTTTTTTTACCTATTTTTTCTTCTTGTTCTTGTTGCGTATATAAAACTAATAATTCATTTGCATCAAGTGTAATTAGATCTTTCGTTAAAATTGAAATCATTTTTAATGGATCATCATATAATGATACCGGGCCAGGTTTAATATCTGTTGTTCCATCAATATAATTTACTTCTAAATATTGCATATCATTAGCTTGATGCACTAATAATGGTTGAATTCGATTTATACATGGCCAAACAATTGCTAATCTTGGTCCATCGATATAGTTAGCATCACCATTAAATTTCCAAACAATGGCACGACGTCCTCTCTTTATTTTACGTAATAAAACCATATTTTTTTTTTAAAACTTATTCCTTATTTATTTCTATATATACAAGTAAATGTTGTGGTAATGTTTTTCTCTTTTTCTTTCCTTCATACTATGACCTCGCTCTGTCTTTTTATAAAAGAATACGTTGCTTTAGAGTTGAGTAATTACCATCATTGAATTAGTCATCGTGGTTTGTATAATGGAAATGTAAATTATTCATCTACGATGCCACGTTTCATGTTTATTTTACAAAAAACAAAGAAGAGTAAACGGCAAATATGAATAATATTATAATAGTAGTCCATAGAAGTCATGAAAAAAACAAGTTAGAATGACGTCATCATTGCTTCGTGACATGTTATGAATTAAAATAGTGTCGCTGAATGATAGTATTCAAAGGGATATTGACCCAAATCTTTCCAAGGATGATGTATTATTTTAATACAAGATATACAAAGAAATTTTTTCGAATTTTATAATAAATCTCGGTATTTATTTTAATGCATAATAGAAAAAAAACAAGATTGGCGGTGAAAACAAAAAGATAATAAAGAGCCAAGAAATCCACCAACTGAATAATCGATTTTGAGTTCGGATGCAATGTACATTATGTTGATTCTAATGGGATATAAATATTCTGAATAGTATTTAGAATGTTTGTAGTTTAGTTTTGTGAAAATATTGGATTTGTACTGTGGTTGACCTCAAGGACTTTAAAAAAACTGATTTTCGAATTTAAATTTGAAACTTTGTAAAAAGACAGATCTCAATGGGAATAGTTTATATCGTAAAAATCTCAGGTCTTTCCAGTTGAAATTTGTAAATAATTAGTTTTCCTAATGTTTTTGAAGGAAGATTATGGTATTGACATTAAAGACTAGAGTACAAACTCAATATCTCGATAGTAGACCTATGACAGATCAAATTTTTATGAACTACTTCTTTGATCGAGAACTGTCACAGGTCTAGTTGAGATTAGAATTTCTGACAAAAAATTTTCCTTTTAAGAGAAAAGATCAAGACGGCTAAAAATTTCTTACACATTACTTGAGCAGTATCAAACTTGACTAAAGCTTTTAGGAATCAATGAGCCTGAATCAATAGACAGTTTGCCGAAACTTTTGAGTTTGACTTTGTTCGTAGCAAAAGATTTGTTTCAACAAAAATAATTATGATTATAATATTTCACTGAAACATCGGTAATAGGTCTTCCACCACTTTTATTGAATTAAACGTGTCCTGACCAAAAAAACATCGAAATGATATAGCATTAATCTTGCTTCAATGTTTTAATCACCTAATTTTACTTGAAAATAAGTGTTAGCAGAAAAGCTTACAAATAATATTAATATTTGACTGATTCGTTCACTGTTCATACCAGTGGTTTATTAACCTGTCAAAATTTAACAAAAATTAATCTAAATGATCCCTCACTACTTGTAAGACAACTTCTTTTATGAGTATTTATAAGTAGAAAAAAAGACATACGAACTGTATCATTTCCGAGAACTGGAACGATGAGCACTTGGTGTAGGTGTAAGTAAGATGGTGGCTGTTAGTGTGTGGTGTGCATGTGGATGTATGTGATTAAGAGAAGATAACAACAGAGACACTTACACCCA